AACTACCTTGCAGATGGAGCAAGGGCTGTGGCTGGGTGGATTTGAACTCTAAGAGCAGAAAGAAACCTAGCAGGTATGTGGTGTTGTTTGGAAGCTTCATGCCTTTCCTGGGGAGTAAGCGTTGACTTTGTGTCAAGTAGCAGCTGGGTCAGCTCTTGCTCAGTGGGTAGGCTTTAGGTGTGTGTGTGGTGTGGGTGGGGGGGGTTAGGGACGAAGAGGTCCTGGAGACCAAGAAGTCAGTTCTAAGGGAAATGTGGCAGGTAAAAGCGTGAGAAGGGTCAGGATAGTGACAGAGACTGTAGGAGGAAGATGCCAGAGAGGACAGTAAGAAGAGAAGTCAGAAGCAAAGACAAGAGTGCTGGGCCTGGATGACTTGAGGGACTGTAATGAGTTCAAGCCATCCTCCAAGCTCGCTGAAGAAAGCAGGTGGTGCCTTGGTCCTTGGAAGTCCAGGCTTCAGACCTGGAGCTATCAATGAAACTTGGAGTGGCTGAGTAAGTGAACCAGGAACAACATTATGAAAAAGAGTACTTTCTGCTTGGGGAAGGACAGAATTCTGCTCCCGGCACCCATGTCAGGGTGGCACACAGCTGCCTGCCACTCCAGCTTCAAGGGACTTAATACCCTTTTCTGGTCTCCTGTGGCACCCTCTTCCCACACATACACATAAACAAAGTAAAATATTTAAAAAAGAAAATAGACTTGCAGCCACTTAGCTATCCGGAGTGAGGACTTTGTTTGGGGTTGTCTTGGTGAGGGCTCTGTGCATGCTAACCATGCACGAGACTACTGAGTTACATGCCTAGACTCCAGCAGAGAGTCTCTAGAAACCAACTTTAGCGTGTGAATGGATCTGTTAGGTCAGCTGCAAGATTTGAGGATTAATAAAGGAAGGCTAGGGCAGGTGGTACAGTTCCATAATCCCACGCTGTAACCAAGGAGGTGGGTGTAGGAGGATCAGGACTTCCAGGGCAGCCTCAGCTAATATTGCAAGTCCAAGGCCAGCTTTCGCCACAGGAGACTGTCTCAAGAAAAGGGAAGAGACTCTGGACTAGGGGTGGAGCTCTGCGGTAGTGTTTGCCTATCACACTTGAGGGAGGCCTGGGGTTTCACTCCCCCTTCTCCTTGACCCTGAGTAAGTTTCCCAGGGCTCTATAACACGGAATCTCCAAAGAAAGGGTGTTTAAATACTTTAGCAAGGCATTTTAGGAAACCCTTGTAGCTAGGTGGTGCCACATATCTGTCATCTCAGGCTCTGGTAGGTGTAGGATCAGGAGCTCAAGGCTAGCCTTGGGTACATAGTGAACTTGAGGCCAGGTTGGGCTACATGAGACCTTGTCTAAAGAAGAAGAAGAAAAGGAAGGCGAGGGGCACTCTTGAGTTGAGCAGGAATTCAGCTTTCTCCACCAGCTATTACACAAGTAGTCCATGAGAACTTTCTCTTCCAACTTCCTGCAGGGGTCGCTGCTGCCTTAGGCAGGGGCTGCTACCTCTGGCCCCAGCCAATTTCTTCTAAGAAAACTGGCGGTCTTTGCCTGTGTACACTCACTCTGGACCTGTTTTCAACCAAGGGGGCTACAGGATGGCAGTGCTTAGCGAATGGCATTTGGTGGGGGTGGTATAATGGGCACTATTTTTTTTTTTCTGTTTCTGGGTCACAAGTTTATTAAAATAAAAGAAACTGTGGGTAAATGCTGCCATCTGTGCTGCCCCCCCAACACACACACACACACACACACACACACACACACACACACACACACACACACACACACACACACACAACA